CTTTAACTTATTTTAAAAAACAATAAAATCCTCACATGAAAGAATATACATATTTCCACTAAACTTGTTTGATTTTAACATTTTTATCATTCCTCCAGGCGAGCCATGCAGATTTTCTCATTTTTCCTCAATACTCACATGCCAAGCTAGCCAAGTACACATGCGCATATTTTTTCTACTTTGGCTCTTGTTTATAAATGGATCTAAGACCACCAGACTCTGACTCTACAAGAACCTGGTCCAGGTCTGCCCATGTCCTATGAGATCTTCTCTTCCACAGCTGCAGAAGTTGCATGTATGTTTGTCGGTAGTCATTCTGTGCTAGGATGCCTTGTGCAATACTTGATTGGATTCCCAGAGCAACGTACAAATCGGAGAAATTATTCGGAAGTAGTTCTCTTGAGATTATTAGCAAATGTGCATCTGTTACGTCTGGGGAATCGGTAGGCCTGACAGTGAAGGAGATAAAAAGGACTGAGTTTGCGATGTTAACCCTGCTGGTTAGGGCAACACGTTTTACAAAGATAATAGTTAATTGATTAGACAAATCTAAAGGTGGTCAATTTACAACCTGTGTAAAGTTGAAGAAAATGGAAAACAAACTTTGCATGCAGAGCATGATTATGTTGAAGTAAAATATAGGCTACATTAAATAATATATTGTAAATATTATAAGCAAACCAATAGATTGTCTCATTAAGCTTCTTTTAAACTCTTCAAACCTACCAAATTAGTGATTATCTTAAAGACTATCTCTTTATTTAAATGACAATGAAATGGAGAAGAAGACACCCCTGCACACAAGATTGCCCAAACCAAGAAAATTCCATTCTCCAGAAATAATAATAAAATAATAAGATATTTATATACGCAAATTGCATAATGCCTTTAATACCAAAGTCCACTCCAAAAATAACCGACTTTCAATAGAAGCAGACATATGGCTCCGTTTAGTCTCATTTCACAACGCCCCCTATCGTCAGAGCATGATCAGAGTCAGCAGCCTAACATGTTAGCCTATGGACGTTTTTTTTTTAAATCGTTAAAAATTCATTTTTTGTTTAAACGAAAAGCACATCCACCCCGACGTACGTTATCACTAGCTCTTTCATTGGAGCCCTCATGTCTCATTGACTTTTGAAAGTTCCCCCACCGTAATTTTTCAAAATAGGTTGCAAGCTCGTCATTGCCTATAATACACATGTGAAACAAGTCTAACTTTGGACTCAGTTTACCAAGCGATTTGAAGATTATAGGTCGAGCACACGAAACATAAAAAGCATGAATTATCATAGATCACTTCTGCCTATTTCATTATGTCCATTTCATCCAACCCCCACCGTAATTTTTCCATTTAGTAAAAGCAAACATTTTGCCGAGTTTAGCAAAAACATGAATATTCATGAACGGTCAGACAATACAGCCTTTTAGTACGTAACGTATAGTGAATGGGAATGGGCGATGATCCGTTCAGGAGGTAGAGGTCAGTGGTTTGTGCTGGCAATATTCACGCAAGCGAAAATGAGACAATCGGAGCAATATGCAAATCAGACTAACCAATCAAAACAAGTCTGAGCAAAATCGGATAACTAATAAGAAAGTAATGATTTTGTAATGACATTGAAAAAACTTTAAAAAATCACTAGATAATTGACAACTCACTCAGGAGTCTGTGACGTCATTTCCTCGCTATCCACTAATTATTTTCCTTATATTGATGATATAAATTCCCTATTTTCTCCTTAAGGATCTTATTTCTTCACACCAGCATCCAAGTTAGAGTATTAGTAATATGTGTGGATGCACTATTTTTATAGAGTAATTGTTTCAGTTTAATCATGACAAATGTGAATTTTGATAATATATATATATATAAATCAATAATTATGAATATACAATATTCAGAAAATAGTATAAATTCTTCAAAGTTTATAAAAGATTTTGTGAAATGTCATGCACGCAATTTAATACAAATTATATAACCTGGGCAAAGGCATGGGGAAATTTGGGCAATAAAAAGGGAAATTAATGGGATTAAACCATAGAGCAATGGATAAATAGTGAGGACATGACGTCACAAACTGATAACCATCTTGGCAATTTGTGTTGTGATTCTCATTGTTCCATAGTTTTACATACTTTTTCAAAAATTCATAACTTTCTTATTAGTTATCCGATTTTGCTCAAATTTTTTCAGTGGTTTGTCTGAATTTGTTTTGTTTTATTGAAAGTAAGTTATTTTTCGAGTGGACTTTCCCTTTAGGCGGTTTAAGAGGAACACTGTTGATAAGTAAAGGAAACAGAATTTGCATTACAAATTACATCAAATCAATTAATATTAAAACTTTGCAAATAAAAATATTACATGTAGGCCTATACATAATTACAAATCCCTTAAAACCAAAATACAAATTGTTCAAACATTAATATTATCCTACGTTAATCTACCAAAATTATAAAAGGCGAAAGGTCAGAGGGCCGTTCAGAAAAAAATACTTTAATAAATATGTTTTTAGCATTGTTTTAAATGTAATTAAAGAACTGGCATTGCGAATTTGAAGGGGGAGATTGTTCCAAAGAAATGTAGCTGCATAAACGAAAGAACGTTGACCGTATTGTTTCTAAGAAAAAAAGCAGATCGCAAAGTCTGAACAGGAGTATATCGAGGAAGGAGTTCAGAAAGATATGAAGGCGTAAAACCATGATAAGTCTTGAAAGTAAGGAGGAGAATTTTGTAAGTACGAGGAACACAGGAAAGAAGACGAGCTGCTGTGTTTTGGATACGTTGGAGCTTTGAGGTTATTTTTGCAGGAAGACCAAATAGAAGGGAATTGCAACAACCTATCCTAGATGCGACGAAAGCATGGATAAGACGATGGGTTGTATTCTGGTCGAGAAACCTACGAATTTCTCCTATTTTCCTTATAGCTACAAAAGCAAATTTACAAATGCATCAATATTTTGAGACAAAGTAAGTGAAGAATCCATAACAACCCCAAGCTTACGGGCCATAAAGGATGGCTAAATTACAGACTGCCCAATTCTTAAACTGATTTGTGGGACATGAGAAACAAACTTGGAATGAAAGTAAAGAAATTCAGTTTTAGTGTCATTTAGAGAAAGTTTGCTCTGAAGTACCCAAATTTTAACATCCTTTAAGCAATTTTCCATCTTCTGAACAGCAGCAGAGCGATTCCCAGAATCAAATGTTAGGCACAATTGCACGTCGTCTGCATATGTCATACATGATATATTGTGAGCCAATATGGTATCTTGCAAGGGAGATGTAAACATTATAAAGAGTAGCAGGCCGGCGACAGAGCCTTGTGGGACCCCGGACCAAGGATTGTGTTTTCCTGAGGAAACAGAATTGACGGAGACTAAATAAGATATAAACCACTGCAAAGCAGTTCCACTTATCCCAAACGTGAGGATAATCGTTGTACAAGACAATGACGATTGATTGTTTCAAATCTAATAGGGGAATCTATAGGAAATAAGAAAACCAAAATTGCGCAACAGACCTACCTTACAATCAGAAGAAGTAGTGATGAATGAATACTAACATGTAATCACATTAACACCCAGAAGAAAATCAGCAGCGGAATATAATATTTCGAAACAAAAAAATAAATATAGACCTACTTTTGAGCTCGGTTTGCCCTGGGTGTCACCTCGTCTCCTGTAATAAGAAGGCAAAAACATTGCTTCACGTCGGTGTTTCATCCTTCCTAAGCGTTTGAGATACTGAATTCCAATATTATTTCCAACCGTGTACAATTTTTCGACACCTTTTTCTTCTGAAACTGTTATAATTTTTGAACGTTTTACAGTACGTTTGGTAGAGACACATTTACCAAAAACAGAGCTTGGCCGAGATAAGTAATTTCGTTGTTTATTTTTAATACCTAACCATTCTGTCTTTTAGAAAATACAACACCAAATTACGATTTTGCTAGATCAATATTTTATGGCATCAGCATTTTTTTCCCTTTTTTTTCCAAAACCATATTTCTGCCATTTAGACATTTGAAACAGTTGATAAGCTTGGAATATTAAAATGTTGTTGTTCTTCCTCTCTTTCCTCCTTTTTTTCATTTCTTCGTTATGAAGCTGAAAGCGAAGCTACGAGCCTACATATATATATATATATATATGATTTTAAGCATTTAACACTTACCTGACATACTCATCAGACAAATAATGTCTATCGTTGCGCTTTGTTTCAAAATGAACCGAACCTCAACTTCGGATTTGCCAGCGGTTGAAGTGTTAACGAACGTTACATTGACCTGAACTAAATTACGAAACAAAGTTTCCTGTCGTGTCTGTTAAGAGAGCATAGGATAACCATTTTAAATACACATTAAATGTATCCGTCATGCCCATGAATTAGATTGTATGACTTAAACAATTTGAGTGATGTAAGATTATCTCTTCCTCTACGAGGATACGGTTTAAGCTACACGTGTCTCCATTGAACCCCGTAGGTATCACTCTATAAAATGGTTGAGTAATCAAACGCACTATCGTCGAGAGAGGGTACATAAACAATATTATTAATATTATTATTATATTGATAATACACCTTTAGAAAGAATTGATACATTTATTTCCAAGAATGACATTTATATTCAGGTAATCAGGTAATTCTTTTTTCTTTTTTTTAACTTCGAGTATACCTCCGTCAGCGTATCGAGAGAGAGAGTGCGTTGTGACACGTGCACACGTTCGCGATTAAAGGTTAATTAATGGAGCTCCGAATTAAGTTCTATCCCATTATTATAGAGATTTTGTATGGGAGGGAACTATTTGGAGCTCTGTGAATTAACCTTTGATCACGTACGTGTCCGCGTGTCACAACGCACTCTCTCAATACGCTATGGACCGATCATACAGATGGACACCACACCAACCAAACAAATGCATTGCACTTAAAAGCCAACAAATCGACCAGTCAATTTTCAGTTTGTTTTGTCGTTGTGTCTAAAGCATTTATATTAACTTGCCTGAGTGCCTATGTCCATGTCGTCTACCTGACAGGTTACTTTAAGTTCGCCAGAACGCCATGCCACAAAATACTCTTCTTCTTCTTCTGGTTTCGCGTATCCTACTTTGGGCTGTTTTTTTTAACAAAAGAGTTAACAAAAATGTTTATATCATACGAATGCGGTATAAAAGAAGAATAAATTAGCATAATGTTCACACAAGAAAAGGCCTACGGGATTATACGTACATTTTACAGATTAAAAAGTGTTAATAAACTTATTGCCATTTACATATGCCGGGATATATTTCTAACGTTCAAACATTCTCGTTGAGTATATATGCTCCAGAACATTCATGATATTAGTGTATACAACGGTAGTTTTCAATGGGCAAAATTGTATTGCTGACATTATTCCGTTAAGTGCTCTGTGTCATATGATTGTTCTGTTACAATGGCAAAGACTATGAAATAACCATATGCTCGAATTTTGTTATACAGTGCGTCTAAAAAGTATACCCCACCTTGGCAATATTTAACGCTCAATTTATCAATTAGGTCATGGAATATAATATTAAGAACATGCAAATTCATGATAGGTTTTCAATGTGCTGTTCGTTCGATTAATATCAATATCAATAAGAGACAGGAAGTTACTAGGCTGTTATAAAGAATGGTTATCCTGTTGATTGAAACAAGGTCATGTAAAGGCTCAGAAGCAGAACATTTGATCAGGATTTAAGACGAAAGTAACACAAGTATCTGGCATTAATCAAACTTGTGTGCATCAGCCCTAACTTGGTATAGGAGCTAAGGAGAGTTTGCGGCACTCGTTAAAGCCCTAAGTGTTCTCTCATCCGCGGCAGAAAATACTATAAAAAGAGAGATTAAATAGATAGAGAACATGTTACGATTGCTCATGAAACAGATTTCAAGGTCACATTTATTTAAGACTTTTTTTATCATAGGCTGCCAAAGCCTTGGGTATACTTTTGTAATATGGACTGTATTTGTCATCGTCATGTCAGCACACTTTATTCGTTGACGAACAATACTATTAAAAATACCCTTTTTCTGACAGTCTTAGCCATCGACTATGCAGAAGAAGGTCCAAATTGATGTGAAATGTCGAATCCATACAGTACTGCTAACGTCATATTTGCTTGTTATCTCCATTACTGGTTCCAAACAACAGAACCTGCGCATGGGGTTTAACGTGAAATCATCAAAGCAACGGGCTGGAACAGGGCAAATTCAGTGTTTGGCGCTTGTAATAACCACACCATTGTTTAGCACAATATTATTTGGAACCAGTAATATGAACGATGAGCGAATATGACGTCATTACTTTGGTAGTCTTTGAACAAACTGTGTCACTTAACCCCTTCCCTTTCATACCTCTGCTTTTCCGTAGTTACTGTCTCTAATGCAGAGCCTCAACAGGTGCTTAGCGTTCCTACGGCTGGGCTCGGGTAAAAAGGGCGTACAGATGACACGCTTGCCGAAGAATACCTTTGTGATGAAAGCAACAATCCACCATTCCGAGAAGTGGGAGATGTAGAGATCAAGATCTCGCTCTCGAACAACACATCGAGGGTCACCATTGGCAAAGGCAATCAATGAAAAACTGTCGGAACCTTTTAATTGAAAACAGAAAACATATGCGTAATCGCAATTTGTTGTTCCTTGCAAAATGTAAAACAAAGCAAAGAAAATACAAATACAAATTTCAGAGAACACAGAAGCGATGGGAGGGCGGGGGGGGGGAATACCCCAGCTTTATACCACCGATTCCCGTTATACGATAGATCACCCCTAATTTATACCTAAACGAGAAAAAAAAAGAATTCATGCTTGCATGATGCAGGGAGAAATTCGCTTAAGACGGTTTCTAACAAAAAAGGGTTAAAAACAAACCCCTTACATCGAAATTGATGATCATTGATTGGTGTTATTTTGCAAGGGAAAGAATGATCTACCCAATTTATAAAAAACAAATGACATTGAGGCAATTTGTCGTTGAAATTGCAGCCCTCACGTTTTGCGTTCATTTTTAGCAACCCCGTATAACAAGCAATACAAAACTCGGTATCGGTTTATAGTCGGGTCAATGTATTGGAGAGAAACAAATACCCCCCCCCCCCTTCGAAAAAAAAATGCAACAAAGATTTTACAACAGTTTCTAGTAGTGTTTGACATCAAAAACAACATACTTAAACTCTAAAAAAATTAGATTCCAAGAAAGTGCTTATTTTCAAAATAGCGTCAAAGAGTACAGCCATTACGTTATTAAAGCTTTAAATAATGATACATTTATCTTAGAGATGCGATTTTCGCGTCTTAACATATAGGTTTGGAGGGTCGACAAATCCATTCGTATCATAAAACACTCCTAATTGCATATGGGGTCGAATCCTAACTGACCGGACAAATTCGAAAAGTGGCTTCTGTATATGCTAATGAAGCAGGCATATATCACTGAATGTTGCGATGGGTTATTGAATTATGATACCATTGTAATCTAATGCTTCTGAACAAAGATATACATTTAACAACTAAATTATTCATACCCCTCGTTAATTTAATATTTTTTTGTGTTTTTCCTAGCTCAACAATGAAAGGGGAACGAGTTGATTTTAGGGCTTTTGTTGAATACTTTTAGACGTTAAGCTATGGTCACAAATCAGAGCGGCGACCGACCGATCTGTAGCCTGCTCGGTCGCCGCTGGAATTTAGGCATCGCCCTACGATTTTTGGAGATATCGAGCAGGGTTTAGAGCCCAGCGATGCCTGAGCGGTACCCTGACGATTTCCCGTCGGTCGCCGGACGATTTTAGGTCAAAACTGGGCGAAATGGGGAAGCTTCTCCGGCCGGCGTCCCGGCAGTGACCGACTGATGACCCACCGATTCCCGGCCGGCCACCGGCAGATTTTAAAGAAATTGACCGTCGGCCGGCCAGGGATCAGCGTGGCACCGATGGTACTTTGGGGGCGAGTAAAGTGATCAGGCGCCACTCGAATTTTAACTCTACGCTAAAACTTCCGCACCGACCGAGCGATGCCCTAAAAACAAGCGGTGCCCGGGCGGCCGCCGAGCAGGCTACGTTTAGGTGTTGCAACCATAGCTTAAGTTTGAATGTCACATTTGAATTTCACATTCTCAAAAAACATAAATCAGGACAATTCAATATTTCACAAACTTCAGAAATTAAAAAAAAAATGTTAACGGTATGCTTTTAACCATAACATTATTCTTACTGCTATTCCGATGGTAAGTCCCAATAGATGCAGAATCGAGACTTGTGAAAATTGCTGAATGGGGCATCGTCACTTTAATTGGATATTTAAAGTTTGCATCATAGGGTGATGCCTTAAGGCCAACACAAATGATTGCTTGGTCCTCCGTTAACAGATCTACCAGTTCAGCTGGAACTTCAGGTACTGCCTGGATGTCATCAACGCCCCAAATCTCACTTGGATGAAATTTGACTTCAATGCCATACTTCTCGATGCGAATCAAGCCTGCTTGCTGATCGGATGCCTCCATGGAATCACGAATAACATCTTCTACGACTTGTTCAGAAGATGCAGAGTCTAAGTTAAGCTGTTCCAGTTTTGAGGCGTCTACGTTTGCTTCGTTATCCACCTGTTTTTCGACACCCCCGCTTTCCTGTTTTGAACCCACGGCTGGATCTACAAAGAAACAACCAAATGAGGTGTTATATAGCACATAATATACAGCAGAAACGGCAGTTTATTCATCTCATATGTTCACTCACTGTAACAAATATGCACAGCGGCGGCGGCAGAGCGTTTTTCAAAAGTAGGTAGGGGAGGGGTTAACAAAAAAGGGGCCCTTTCTGGAAAAAGTGGCACCTTCAAAAGGGAAATATCAAAGCGACAATTTATCATTTTTAGAAATTGGTATATACCCCTACATTGTGATTACATTATCAGGAATGTTTTCAATATTTGTTTCTCTCTCTACAGTCTACATGGTCCAGGATGCTGCTTAAGCATCATACTTTGCAGTTAGGTGTGATGGAAAGAGGGCATACATAGGAAAAGAAACACTTGTCAAAATATAAGGGACACTTGTCAGATTTGAAAAAAGGCAATTATAAGAGGTGAAGGGACACTATCCAAAGATGGTAAGAGGCACTTCTTGTACCTGAAAAGCGGCACTCATCTGAGATGAATAGGGGATATTTTTACAAAGGAAAATTGGAACTTGTCGAATCAAAGGGGCACTTATCCGATATTTTTAGAGGCATTTATTAGAGATGTGAGGAGGCATTCATGGGTAGTGGAAAGGGCTCTTATGAAAAGTAAATACAAAATTGACATTTATCAAAAGGAAAAATGGCGTTTATTAGAACAAATAAGGTGTCAATTTTCGATATAAAAGGAGACACTTATCAGAGGTAAAAAGGGGCAATCATCCGATGAAAAGGGGAACTTTCAGAAGGAGAAGGGGGCACTTATTACAAACGAAAAGGGCTCTTGTTATAGTAAAAGGAAACCTCTCAAATTTGATCATCGGCAATTGTCATTGCAGAATGGGGCACTTTTAACAATATGGAATGGGCACCTTTAAGAAATAGATGGGTCCGCCGCCTGTGAAAGTGCATTTGCATAGCGGGCCTATGATGGTAACTATCGGAGTCGAGCTTATTCATGTCCAAATAAAACACAGACAGTTGGCTCGGCTATTTTCTAACATTAACAAATCAAACTTTGGAGGCTCATTCCAAAAACACAAATTCGGAAGACCGAGCAAATTCTTCGAAAACAGCGAATGTGGATATCGATCGAGCGGCCTTTATCTTTCGGTGCAACGTAGTGTGCACAAAACGCATGAAAAAGTTAAACTGCTGTTGATATATATTTCTTGAAAAATAATGATGCCGATATACATCTATTTCTTCAAATGTTTGCTATTTGAAAGGAAATTTATGAGACACATTCATTCATGGATTTTTATCATAATAAAGCCAAAGATTCATCTTTTTGAAAACTAAAATGAACAGGGTGATTTTCCCCATGGCTTTTGTAAACACTGCCTTAAACTAAAATATGAGGGCTCTGTATTCACTGCACGTACGTAATTCGCTGTTTTCGAAGATATTGCTCAATTTCGGTTTTCCGAAATTGTGACTGACTGATAAAATGAATAAGTAACTTATATATATGTGGTTGCCCAATTGCCCAATTCAGTCAATATTTAACGTGTATAGTATGTCAAGGTAACACTATAGTATTAATGACTGCTTTGAGAGAAATAGTTGTTTTATTACGCTCAAGGGAAGGTTAGAATTGTGCTATTCCCCGAGGCTTGCCGAGGGGAATAGCCCAATTCTAACCTTCCCGAGAGCGTATGAAAACAACTATTTCTCGAATATTAAAGCAGTCATTAATACTTTTATATGCCGAAAAAAAATAGACTAAAAAATGAAAAATTAAAAATATTTATCAATTTGTCGAAGACGGGATTCGAACCCTTGCGTACAACAAGAGGTGTACCGAAAACCAACGCTTAGACCACTCGGCTATGGCCCGCCGTTAACATGCTTGGCAGTTTTCTCCAATATATACATTAAAATGGATTGAAACCGGCTTCGCGTGTGATGAATGCTTCGCAAAAGCTCCATATACGGACTCTTCTTTTACTTTTGCAATGCATATTGGCACGAACTTAGATCAAGATCTATCGGCAGATGTTGTTTTTTTGTTTTTGGAAGTTTATTTTCGTCTTCATGTCAACAATGCAAGATAAAATTGTCGGTAAGATCGATCGAGATTCAATTGTATTGAAATTACCGACCAATCCTTCGCACACATACGGCATCCTCCATCGCTCAAACCATTTTTTAACATGTAAACCTATGGGGTAACCATGGAGGCTGACCAACTGTTTTTAATAACCATGGTTATTAAAAATATTGAAATGTTTTATGCATGGTTACCGAGAATTTTACAGGAACAGTTGAAGTTTATGAATGCAATTCGACCAATCAGATGGCTGGATTTCTTAAGTGAGGTATATAAATTACAATATAATGATTACATGAAATATCGTAATAGCCCTACGGACACTGGGATCGTGATTTTCAAGGTTTACGTACTTTCTAAAGCACATTGTATATGAAGCTGACATGTTTCATTTTTCAAAATGTATTTCTAATCTGCTCTAGCTATCTGTGGATTTCGACGGGTTTCATTAGTTGTAATATAATACATTAATCACTAAAAGATAACGGTCTATATAGGCTATGATGTTCTTTAATGGAATGTTTCAAGGGAAAGTCCACCCTGAAATTAAGTTAGTTTTAATAGGAGTAGAAAAATGAGAGAAACAAGTCAGTGAAAGTTTGAGCAAATTCCGATTAAAAATAAGGAAGTTAGGATTTTTGAAGTTGTGATCAATCAAACACAAATTGGCAACTCTATGACGTACCATGTGAGCTCAACTTCCATTTGCTCAGTACTAAAAAAATCTAAAATTTTCATTTTCCCTCAAGAAAAATTTCAACCATACATGCACCCTAAATATAATAATTGCAAATATGTTTCTATACTCCCCCTGCAAGGAACAAATATATATTCCGTCATCAATAACGAAGAAAAAATGATTTTATGGAATATTATGCACAAAGCAAATGAAGGAGAGCTCGTATAATAAGTCACAGAGTTGCCAATTTGTATTTGATTGATCACAACTTCAATAATTCATAACTCTCTTATTTGCATTCAGAATTTGCTCAAACTTTCACTCACCTGATCTTCTTATTATTCTGCCTCTATCGAAACAAACTTATTTTGGGGGTGGACTTTCCCTTTAAGACCGCAAGTGCCTTCAAAGTACATGGTTATTGCTCTTACATTCTTATTTATGACATTTCTGCCTATTAGAACCTAAAATTGCTCTGAAGGTAGTTTTCGACCCCAAAATGTGTAAATTTAGATTGAATACGATCAATTTAGCTCCACTATCCCAAAAATATGGTGACCGTTAATTATTCATAATTAATCATAACAATACAAGGGCCGGCTGGTTGTGCGTATTATAACCAGCACGAAAAGGCCAACAAAAAGCCGATATTGGCATTGGCTGGCATTGGGCTCGTTTTTCGACGGCTCTGACAAAATAACCGAATATTTGTAGATGGTAGTGTAGATGGTAATACTGTAAATGATAGCTCACAAGTAAGCAATGTTGTGAGGCAAACTTTTAGCGGTAGGAGGGTGAACTGCCCAGTTCGCCTTGATTTGTAAATTATATATTGATTTGTTCATATTATCATAATCAATAATCATATTACATATGTTCATTGTTCATATTATCACATGTTTATCATTGTTCATATTATCACATGTTTATCATTGTTATACTATTGTTATATTGATACTCTGTTGTAAATACGTTGTACTCACATACCCCGAGAGGGGGTCGATAGAGTCAATAACAAATACAATCAATCTTGCCAACTGAACTTACCTTTATCAATTAACTGCGCGTGGAGAGGTGTGCGCCTCCAACCAATATCAATCCTATTTGGATCTGCTTTTCGGTCAGTGAGAAACTGTTCCACATCATGGTGACCATTGAATGATGCCGCTTGGAGAGGTGTCCTGCCATCATTACCAGCCGTATTTCGATCTGCTCCTTGGCCAATGAGAAACTGTACAACGTCGAGGTGACCATTGAATGATGCCGCATGGAGAGGTGTGCGCCCATCAAAACCAGCCCTATTCAGATCTGCTCCTTGGCCAATGAGAACCTGTGCAACCTCGAGATGACCTTTGAGTGATGCCACTTCCAGAGGTGTGCTGCCATCTTTACCAGCCCTATTTAGATCTGCTCCTTGGCCAATGAGAAACTGTACAACATCGAGGTGACCATTGAATGATGCCGCTTGGAGAGGTGTGTGACCACCAACACCAGCCATATTTAGATCTGCTTTTTGGCCAATGAAAAACTTAACAACATCGAGATGACCTTTGAGTGATGCCACTTCCAGAGGTGTGCTGCCATCCCGACCAACCCTATTTAGATCTGCTCCTTGGCCAATAAGAAATTGTACAACATTGAGGTGACCCTTGAATGATGCCGCTTGGAGAGGTGTGCGCCCACCAATACCAGCCCTGTTTAGATCTGCTCCTTGGTCAATGAGAAATTGTACAACATCGAGATGACCTTTGAGTGATGCCGCTTCTAGAGGTGTGCTTCCATCGTTACCAGCCCTTTTTAGATCAGCTATTTGGCCAATGAGAAACTGTACAACATCGACGTGACCTTTGATTGATGCCACTTCTAAAGGTGTGCTGCCATCTCGACCAACTTTATTCAGAACTGCTCCTTGGCCAACAAGAAACTGTACAACCTCAAGGTGACCATTGAATGATGCCGCTTGGAGAGGAGTGCGCCCACCAATACCAGTCCTATTTAGATCTGCTTTTTTGCCAATGAGAAACTGTACAACATCGAGGTGACCTTTGAGTGATGCTGCTTCTAGAAGTGTGCTGCCATCATTACCAGTCCTATTTAGATCTGCTTTTTTGCCAATGAGAAACTGTACAACATCAAGGTGACCATTGAATGATGCCGCGAAGAGAGGTGTCCTGCCATCTTTATCCGCCCATTTTAAATCTGCTCCTTGGTCAGTCAGAAACTGTACAACACCAAGGTGACCATTGAGTGATGCCGCGAAGAGAGGTGTCCTGCCATCTTTATTCGCCCTTTGTAAATCTGCTCCTTGGCCAATGAGAAACTGTACAACATCCAGGTGACCATTGAGTGATGCCACTTCTAGAGGTGTGCTGCCATCTCGACCAAGTCTATTTAGATCTGCTCCTTTTCCAATAAGAAACTGAACAACGTCACGATGACCATTGGATGATGCCGCATGTAGAGGTGTCCTGGCATCTTTATCCGCCCTTTTTAGATCTGCTCCTTGGCCAATGAGAAACTTTACAACATCGAGGTGACCATCGAATGATGCTGTATAGAGAGGTGTCCATCCATCCTTATCTTCCCTATTTATATCTGCTCCTTTGCCAATGAGAAACTGTACAACGTCGCGATGACCATTGGATGATGCCGCATGTAGAGGTGTCCTGGCATCATTATCCGCCGTATTTAGATCTCCTCCTTGGTCAGTGAAAAACTGTACAACATCGAGGTGACCATTGAATGATGCCTTGTGGAGAGGTGTCATGTCGTCTTTATCCGCCTTTTTTAGATCTGCTCCTTGGCCAGTGAGAAACTGTGCAACATCGAGGTGACCATCGAATGATGCTGTATAGAGAGGTGTCCATCCATCCTTATCTTCCCTATTTATATCTGCTCCTTTGCCAATGAGAAACTGTACAACGTCGCGATGACCATTGGATGATGCCGCATGTAGAGGTGTCCTGGCATCATTATCCGCCGTATTTAGATCTCCTCCTTGGTCAGTGAGAAACTGTACAACATCCAGGTGACCGTTGAATGATGCCATGTGGAGAGGTGTCATGCCGTATTTATCCGCCTTTTTTAGATCTGCTCCTTGGCCAATGAGAAATGTTACCACATCGAGGTGACCATTGAATGATGCCGCAAGAAGAGGTGTCCTGCCATCATAATCAGCCCTTTTTAGATCTGCTCCTTGGCCAAAGAGAAACTTTACAACATCGAGTTGACCATTGAATGATGCCTCTTGGAGAGGTGTCCTGCCATCATAACCAGCCTTTTTCAGATATGCTCCTTGGTCAATGAGAAACTGTACAACATTGAGGTGACCCTTGGAAGATGCCGTGTAGAGAGGTGTGCGCCCATCAATACCAACCCTATTTATATTTGCTCCTTGGCCAGTAAGAAACTGTACAACATCGAGGTGACCATTGAATGATGCCGCTTGGAGAGGTGACCTGCCTTTATCATCAGCCCTTTTGAAATCTGCTCCTTGGTCAGTGAGAAACTGTACAACATCGAGGTGACCATGGGAAGATGCCGTGTGGAGAGGTGTGCTACCATTATTATCAGCCCTATTTAGATCTTCTCCTTGGCCAGTGAGAAACTGTACAACAACGAGGTGACCATTCCATGATGCCGCTTGGAGAGGTGACCTGCCTTTATCATCAGCCCTTTTTACATCTGCTCCTTGGTCAGTGAGAAACTGTACAACATTGAGGTGACCATTGGATGATGCCGTGTGGAGAGGTGTGCCTTGAAACCGATGTGCCATATTCAGATCAGCTCCTTGGCCAATGACAAACTGTACAACGTCGAGATGACCATTAGATGATGCTGCGTGGAGAGGTGTCCTGCCACTGATACTCGCCTTATTTAGATCTGCTTTTTGCCCAATGAGAAACTGTACAACAACGAGGTGACCATTGAATGATGCCTCTAGGAGAGGTGTTCTGCCATCATAACCAGCCCTATTTAGATCTGCTCCTTCGGCAGTGAGAAACTTTACAACATCGAGGTGACCGTTTGAAGATGCCGAGTAGAGAGGTGTGCCCCCACCAATATCAGCCCTATTTATATCTGCTCCTTGGCCAATGAGAAATGTTACCACATCGAGGTGACCATTTAATGATGCCGCAAGAAGAGGTGTCCTGCCATCATTATCAGCCCCATTTAGATCTGCTCCTTGCCCAATGAGAACCTGTACATCATTGAGGTGACCATTGGATGCTGCTTCTTGGAGAGGTGTCAAATCATCATTTTCAGCCCTAGAAAGATCTGCTCTTTGAATATTGTCCCCATCCATCATAAGAATTCAACTGATCTGAGTGTCTGCCTGATATTTCTAGACTGTCATAACTGACGTTTAGGCTATTTGATCAGCCAACTAGAACTGTATTACAGCTGAAGACATGAAGTTATTGAGAATCTGTGTCATTAGGTCTATTTCATTGTCGCCCCTAACGGCCCTCAAGCTATTGGACGAAGAGAGATAGATGGCTATAGGCTATACCGTGCCGCTTATTATTTACTCCGAGTAAAACGGCTAGCAGTGGTTTACATAATTAGACTGCGTAATTATTCTTGCCCACAAAGGAGATCACTTCTCCTCCACATTATATTAATACAATGTTGTTCATGTCAGCTTCATCGGTATGTTCCATTCCCGAATAAACACGACGGTCTTATACATTCTCCCATTAATGTCACGTATCCATCACCTCATTTCGAATGTGTATAAGCGGGCTAGTCCTACAGATATGGCAATGTTCTTATTCCGAAAGAAAAAAAACACCAGCGTGATCTCATACGAAACTTGTATGATGTGACGTTTAGTACAGGCTACAATGGACGCAGCGCAATACCCAGTCGCTGCATAATGATACTAACGCACTCAGCCGTCTAGCTGTTTCTTTAAAAAGATATATTGTAGAAATTGACATAAGACCGGAATTTAGTTTCTGTTTACTTTTTTACTCGGTTCAATGAACAGTTGACAATAGGCATAACCTACACATGGTGACCCAATAAAATCGTATTAGCATATTCCAATAACATGACGGAGGAGAATATTTTATCGTGAAAAATATGATACTTACATTTACAGATTTGGAAGATTTTGTTTTGTTTTGGGGAGCATTTTGTGATGCAATAATTCATAGCAGTTCAAGTTTGTCCAATAATGCGGAAACAGCATTTAAAAACATAAGTAGTATTTAATGTCTGCGTTAAAATCTTTAAAAACGCGGGTAAAAATATTGTTTAGAAAGTTAATTTATGTTAAATCTGATGTTTATTTACAGCTTGACCAATGCATGGATTAATATCATTCTGAAAATCAACAATGATACGTGATATTCGCATGGAGCACTGCCAGGGGATCTTTTCAATATTTTGCCGAAAATGCATCCTTAAAATACGAAATTTGGCTTGTCGAGGTGTCGTGCATGGTCTATGGTAAATACCCGTCATCGGACTGTGGATCAAATGGCTCGCGGTTCGAGTCCCATCGCGAGACACTAATGTACTTTGGCGAGAAAATATAATCTACAATTACCACTCTCCACCCAGGTGAAGTGAATGGGTTTCTAGTAGAAAAAACTTCATTGAATGTTTTAGCCCCTTATCATGGGGGATCGTGAGGCTTCATGTTATACAGCCGGTGTAGTATATAAATGGACATATTATTATTATTATTATTATTATATTACTACTATTATGTTCTTTTCAATAGATTCCCCATCTACTGATACCGGTGAAATTTGCTCTGCATTATTTTCAGTTTGCTAGTCCGTTTTTTTTTTTATTGCCACCCTGTCGTTATAGGCGCAGCTAGTCGACTGGGACAGACAAAAGAAGTTTGAATGAAACACATACCAGTCTCTATGGCTCAGCGCACACCACACGATCCGATTGCGATCTGATTTTGGAAGAATTTACAACAGCTAGCGCATTTCATATGAACTTAAAACATGTAAAATGTGAATGATCGTGGTGAGTGCGCCTTTTCATCTGTGGTGAGTGTCCACTTTCAGGTGCGAAAAGTGCCCCTTTTCCTTCCACAAAAGCCCCTTTTTAATAATAGCCCTTCTCTTTTTCATAAATGTCCCTTTTCACATCTGATAATCACCCATATTTTTTTTAGACACGTGCCCCTTTTCTTTTCAAATAAGTGCTCTTCTTATTACTGATAAGTGGACCTTTAATTTTTTTAATGGGAGCCCCTTCTCATTTTCATTTGCTCCTATGCAATAAAATTGTAATTTCCTCGAAAATCGGATTGGAGGACGAGGGGGTATAGTGTGCGGTGTTCTTTAATCTATACTAGTTTATTTCTCCCTCAATCTTCTTTCTCTACATCTCGTTCTCTCTCTCTCTCTCTCTCTCTCTCTCTCTTTCCCTCTCTTTCTCTCTCTATCTCACTCTCACTTTCTTTTTCCATTTCTCTTCATCTCTCTCTGACTCTTTATCCATCACTCAACATATACGTCTATCTATCTATCCATCTATTTAATTTCCTCTCCCCCCTTTCTTTATAAATATATATCTCTCCCTCTCATCCATGTTTAGCCGCCACCGAGTATTTTGATTCATACATTTAGTTACAGTCTAGTATGTGTAAATTCTTTATTGCACATACTTGTATTTCAGCTTCATGTTTGAAGCTTATCGGAGGTCACTATAAGTTGGACACGAATGGTGATGGTATAGAAAAAAATTAATAAGAATTAAACATGTCTAGAGTTTTATTTTGTATTTCAGATTATTAGACGAGTCCACTCACATCCTACTGCAAATATAAACATAAGGCAATTCTTTCGACTAAAATATTAAGAAACAAATGTTGTTTACTGTCGGATGCTGTTGTGGTGACCAAATCTGAACAGATTATTTCCGTCTGGCAATACTGTTCTTCGAGTTATTCTTCAATGGTGATTAGATGGCGCTGTTTTCTTTTCTCTGGCTCAAATATTGATTAAGTCTTTTCAGTGTTTCATTTTCTTCAACAATGCTCCACGTAGAGTTGCCATTTAGTTTCACAGTTTCCTTTCGTTGCTTGCGATCGTTCAGTCGATTGTGTGGGCCAGGCGCGGATCCAGGGGGGGGGGGCGAGCGTACCTTGCCCCCCCCCCCCGCAAAAAAAAAAGAAGAAGAAGAAGAGAAAGAGAAGGAAAAGAAGGGAAAGAGGAGAGAAAGGGAAAAAAGGAAGAGGTAGAAGAAAAGAAAAGAGGAAAGAAGGAGATCGGGGGGGGGAGGACTTGCCTCCCCCTCCCCCCCCCCCAATAAAAAAATAAAAGAGAAGAAAGGAAAGGGAAAGAAAAAAGATAAAGAGGAGATAAAGGGAAGGACAAAATAGGAAGAAGAAAACAAAAGAAGGGGGATATCAGTTGCAATTTTCCCGCCAACAAGTTGTGGATCGAGGGGGGGGGGGGCAAAAGACCCTATCCCCCCCCCCCCCCCCCCCCCCCCCGTCCCCGCAAAAAAAAAGAGAAGGAAGGAAAAGGAAAAGAGGAGAGCTAAAAGGGAACAAAAAGAGGAAGAAAAAAGAAAAGGGAGAAAAGAAGCGGAGATCAGTTGCGGTTAACCCCCAAAAAACGCCGGCCAAAAAAGAGAGGAGTGTAAAGAAAGAGGACGTAGGAAGAAAAGGGAATAGACAAAGAACATATTTGAAATTCAGACAAGGATTAAGAGTCGAGAACGGTACAACGAATCGTCTTCTTTCTCTAATGAATTAATGAAACGTCAAAGCTTCCGCGCTACGTGCGGGGGAGGGCAGGGGGAACTTAATTCAGACGTGGATAATTTTCGGGAACGGTACAACGAATCGTCTTCTTTCTATAATAATTTAATGAAACGTCGAAGCTTCAGCGCTTCGCGCGGAAGGGGGAATTGATTTAGACAAGGATTAAGAGTCGAGAACGGTACGACGCATCTTCCTCTTTCTCTAATGATTTAATAAAAAGTAAGGAAACTAAAGGAAACTAAATTATTTTCGAGAGCGGAAAAAAGTTAATGAAACGTCGAAGCGGGGGAAAACTGAATTTAGACAAGGATTAAGAGTCGAGAACAGTACAACGAATCGTCTTCTTTCTTTAATGATTTAATGAAACGTAAAAGCTTCCGCGCTTCGCGTGGGAGGGAAGAAACTGAATTTAGACAAGGATTAAAAGTCATAACGGTACAACGAATCTTCTTTTTTCGCTAATGATTTAATGAAACGTAAAAGCTGTATTCAGACAAGGATTATTTTCGAGAACGGTACAACGAAAAGTCTTCTTTCTCTAATGATTTAATGAAACGTACAAGCTTCCGCGCTTCGCGCGGGAGGGAGGAAAGGAAAACTGAATTCAGATGAGGATTAAGAGTCGAGAACGGTACAACGAATCGTCTTCTTTCTCTAATGATTTAATGAAACGTAAAAGCTTCCGCGCTTCGCGCGGGAGGGAGGAGGGGAAAACTGAATTCAGATGAGGATTAAGAGTCGAGAACGGTACAACGAATCGTCTTCTTTTTCTAATGATTTAATGAAACGTAAAAGCTTCCGCGCTTCGCGCGGGAGGGGAAAAACTATTTTTAGACGAGTAGGCACGTACGAAAGGGGGGAAGGGGGTTAGGGGGGTTGACCCTCCCCCCTTCGGTTTTTTTATGTGTGTATTTTGGAGCAACTCCCCCCCCCCCCTTTTCTGTAATTTTTTTTTTTTTTTAATGACAATGGCTGACCTAAAAAAGGTGACCTCACCCCCCCTCAAAATGTCAAATTTTCAAATTTCGAGACCAAATTTCGAGACCCCCCCCCCCGCTTATTTAGCGGCTGGCTGAGTCGTTACGATTTTTTTTCGGACCAAAAAAAAAAAAGTGGCCCCCCCCCCCCCCTAAGAAATCCTGGATCCGCGCCTGGTGTGGGCAATAATTTAGGTGTCGAAATCAATTGTTTGAAATTGCCTCAGTTTTTTATTCATTGTATAGTAGTGCTTGCTGGGTTTAAGATCCAGGTAGCCGGGTCAAATATTAGGATGTACAGTTTGTCTCTGACGTAGAATCACCAACATCTTGAAGGCATGCCCTACATGAGAGAGTTTATGAAGTTCTAAATCTTAACTTCAAAAAGCCATATGAGTTTATCCTGAACTTGTCGAGAGAGTTCTTTACCCTGCCTAATACCAAGTGTTTATTTCTACAGTAAAAACTCGTTTTCACGATGTAGGGACCAAGAAAATTATCATGTAATATCAGGAATCTAGTTATATTATAAGAATATAAAAAGCTGGGACCAACACAAATCAGCTTCTTATAACAAATACATTA